CAGAAGTATCTAAGATTCTGAACAATGAATTTAATTATTTTTTTAATATTAATTAAAATGTGGAACGCTCCAATAATACTATATAAGTAGTATTTCATTACTTTTTAGTATAATTTATGTTTTGAAAATATGCAAAAATTTTAACTTAATGAAAAAAAATTAAATAACTTTTTTTCAACTTTTAACATTATTTTTATTACGCAGCATTAGCTAACTAACGTTATACCTGTAAGTAGTAAGTCTCTCAATTTCATCTATTATTGTAAATAATAGAAATTTTAATTAAACATTTTAATTTTTAGTAAATAATAAATATGTTTCCTAATAAAATTTTATTTTAATATAAATCCTTTACATTATTGGGTATATTAAATGTAACCAATTATATTTTATTTATGAAAACTTTTTAAATTAATAATTTACATTACATAATGAAAGTTACATCATACTTAAAATCTATGTAATGTTTCTTTTTCAGCTGAATTTCAACTATTTTTAAATGATTTTTTTTTTTAAATAAATTTATTTTAATTGAATATCTATTTAATAATGACATATTATATATAATTTGGTTAAATTATTAAATTCATTAATAATTATTTACAGATTAAGTCAAATTTTTAATAAATAATACAAATGTTGCATCCATTTTGTGTTTTATTCAAAAAAATACACAATTGTTGTTTTTATTATTGACATATTGTTTGATTTTTTTAAGTTTTTATAATGTTATTATTTTTAATTTGTATAATTTGTATAATTTATACTATTCTTATATTACAATAAAAATATAACTTATATTTGTTCATTTTTAATTTACTAATACTGATATATGCTGGCGAGCCCTCATTTAACATTGAGGTTAGGTTCTTGGAAAACACAACGTTAAGAGAAACCGTTTTTACATACACTTTATTATAATGTGTAAATGTGTTCCTGCCAATAAATAACAATGTAATATTTAAAATTGTATGATAAAAATTATACTAAATTACATATTGTATTAAAATTAACAAAGACCTATAATTAGATTTAGTTATGTATTAATTATGCTAATTAAAACTATAGTAATAAACAGTATTAACTGAAAAGGTTGTCAAAATTAAATTACATACAAATATAAAAATAAATCAATGATTTGATAAACATGTACATGTATAAGAAACATTATATTGAAACTATTGCAGTGTTAAACAAAACATTATGACATAAACTTTTAGGACAATAGTGAAAAATTGTCAAGTAAGGACTTACTTTACCTATAAGAAAATAATTCTATACAATTTATTAAATGATATATTTATGAACTAAATATTTGATTTTAAATATTTTGACAATACATAATATAAATGTAATATAAAATATTTAAACATGTATAGACTATAAGTAGAATTATTCTAAAATGAAAATATAAGGCACAGAAGCATCAAAACATTCCTTTTGATTGTTTGTTTCTTGCAGCATTTCTTCTGTTATGATTCCCACTGAATGCTTTCTTTTCATTTTTTCTTTGCCTGTTCAACTCATCATTTGACTTGGATGAGGTAGCTGATACGGAAGAAGCTACTTTTGGTTTACCTTAAATAATAGCACATGCTTATAGAAATTTTATTTATTTATTTATTTATTTTTGTTTTTACTGGCAAACATGGGAAACACTTACTTTGATTGAATTTATCAGATTGCTTTAAAGCATATCTTTTAGCTTTTTGTTTTCGGACATCTTCAGGATTTTCACAGAATGGTTCAAAATTTAATAGTTGCTGTGATTCGTCATCTGAAGACTCTTCTTGTATACATTCAGTTATAGCTTTTTTCTCGATTAAAACCCTTGGTATAACATCGGGCCTTCTCTTTTTATTTTCGTCTTCTGGCTCTGGTAAGGCATACTCAAGTTCCCTTGAAGTTTCATTTTCATCATTATAATATGACTTTAATTCAGAACTTGTCATTTCAGTTAAATTATATTTTTCATAAAATGGCCGCATTTCATTTCGGAAAGATTTATCGTCTAAGAGGCAGAGATTTTCAAGTTTCATACATCTTAGTAAAAATAAAACATAATATTAATATAAATTAATTATCATTAATTATTGATAAAAATTTTATTCCTTCGAGTAATAAAGCCTACCCAGCTTACCCATTAATTGTAGGGTCATAATCAGTAGCATTATTCTCATACTCTGACATAGAAGAGAGATTTGAATTATACTGAGCAAGTTCTGACGGAAGATTATTTTCCAAGACTGTATTTATAACTTTTTCAGAATCCATATTATAATATCTTAGACATTTCTACAAAAAATGAAACATTATTTATAATTAAATGACTGAAAAATATAAATTTACTAACCAGAATAAATCCATCCTTTAAATGGGGCAATATATCTTTTACATTATTTATAAGAGACTGAAATATGGCATTTTCCATATTTGTACTATTGGTTTGTATCTAAAAATACAAATTCTTTATTATTTTATACAAGAAATAATCATTAAACTTTATACAATAATTACCTCCAACTGTTGTTCTTGTAATTCATTTTCTTTAAGTTCAGCATAGGGTTTATTAATTAATTCTAATGATTTTAATAAATAATCATATTTTATTGAGTCTCTAAATGAAGTATTTTTTTTACATTAAAATGTTTCAAAATAAGCTATGAATCGTTAAAAAACTTACATTTTTTTGTTTAATTGTTGATATTCCTTTATATCATCAATTAAATTATAGGCAACAATAAAGTCATTGACAAATTCATCGTACACTAATAGCTCAATGATAACATCTAAATATTCTTCTATTGCATTCTCTGATCTTTATGAAAAATAAATATTTATTCTTTTTAGAAATATAATTTACTTATGATAGATATATACAATATATTTACCCATTTGTAATTTGGGTAGTTATAGGAATTAAACATTGTCGAACAGTTTTTATGAATAATGTTCTTGATGCATGTAGTTTTTCTTGAAATTTTTCTAATTTATTTATAGCAATTACTTTTTTATAAACTAGAGGTTTTATATTATGATAAAAAGAAGCTATCCTAAACAAACATACAAGAAAAATTAAAAGTAGAAGTTAGTTATAAATAATAAGATTTTAGATGTCATAAATACTTAAGATGTAATTTATCTTGATAGAAAAATATAGAGGCCATTGGATAAATTTCCAAAAAATTTGAAATACTATATGATGTGTCTAATAAAAAATTAATATCATCTTCAATCATACAAAGATTTGTTTCTTCAATGTTAGTAGAAGTTTTATTTCTTTGACATATTATGTCATCATTACAGCTCATATCTAATTCGATTTTATCTTGAAACTCTTTTAAACACTAACAATTTTGTTATTTAAAATATTAAATATAGATCATAAATTTAATTAGTTTCTTTATAAAACTCACTTTAATTGTTAATTTAATTAAGTGTTTTAATTTTTCTTCATATAATTTTTCACAAGTAAACAATTCTTTGAAAATTATTTCTAATTGTTTTTTATGTGACTGGCCATAAATAGAACATATATCAAACAACATGGTAATACTTATGATATTATTATTATATAACAAGCTCCACATATGATGAGGTGACATATAATTCTCCTAATAAAATGAAATAAAAAATTTAATAAATTTCATATAAATAGCGAATATTAATACTTCATTTTCAGTTGATGTTGTAAGCCGTTTAAATAATTCATATGCAAAATGATTAATTTCGTGGTAAATGATTAACATATCGTCATCCTGTGGAAGTTGATCCATTAAGTGAGGAGGAGCACCTTCTTGAAAAAATGTACATAACCCCATAGTAGCTTGCTTGTTAAAAACAACTGTAGACCAAAATCTATAGCATTTAAATAATAATAATAATAAACTCAAATATATATTAATTATAATTTTATACTTACTCTTTAAATGATAAATTGAGAAGAGTTTTAAAGTCTAAAATCAAGTACTTCATCTGTTCTATCCAACATTCTTTTTGATCCAAATCATTAGTGATAGATTTTAATGGATGAATATATCCCAAAAATTGTCTTTTAATTGCCAATTTTTCATCCTAAATATTTTAAATAAATGAAGACTAAAATTATTATGATATTCAATGTTTCATAATTATAGAAAACATTTTTTTTCTTAGTTACTGTAGTAATAGTAATTATTGATTAATAATTTTTATTATGATTCTATTTTCCTTAATACATAATAAACATTTTGTAAAGAAATGTACGTATTTTTATTATTATTAATATTTCTATTTTGTTTATCAAGAAATATTGAGAAGGCATTGTTATACAGCATACACATAAATGAGTTTTTGTTGATTTATTTTATATTATTATTTAGGTCAGATCATGGCTTATTGGCTTAACTGGCCTGATGTTTTGTCTATGTCTCCCTCAACGCACATTTACTATGTACAGGTTAAATACAAATCTATTTATATTATCTTCATTATCTATTTTGTACTATTTATTGAAGTGAATAGGTACTACACAATTTACCTACTAAATATGATATGAAATACAATAGCAATAATTCAATATGTAAGAATTATAGACTAAAGTCAAAAATAATTATTATGCCAGTATTTATAAAATGCTATTAAGTTCTGAATATTTAAGGATTAAGTAATTTGAATTATGCTTAAATTGTATTTACCCACATAAGTGATAAATGGGCATGATTATTATCATGAAACTATTTTTCTGTTTTAAAAATGTAAAGCACTATTATAATTAAATTAAATCTATTTGATATTAAAATACAGCTATTATACCATATATTACAGTTTCAATAAAATAATACACATGTTTAGAATTGAGTTAAATTTTATACCTAGTAAAGATTGAAATTGGCAATATATTAGTATTAAAAATATGTATAGAAGCTTTTGTAAACACAGATTGTGTAAAAAAATCATTCTATTCCTCAGACAGCAATGCAAAATAACTATTTACATAATATAATATTGCATAATATTAATTCAAAATTTTACCTCGATAGCCATTTAGGTGTTTGTTTTGCTTTGACCACTGAGACAAAACAAAATGTTTAATATTTATAACTGCAAGTACGGGAAGTAATTTTATAGAAGGTATACGCAATTTTAATAATATTAACTCAAAACTCATTAGTCATAAACACGTAAAATTAAAAATATATTTTATAATATATAATATATTATAGTAATACCGTTGAATATAGATAATACAGAGATTAGACCGATAAGAGAAACGAAAAACCATTTACAGTAATGACTTGAATAATAAAAAGCGTAAACAAAACATTCTGGTTAGATTTGTAGATTTTATGCGGGTAGGCGGTGCGATCTTCTCTAGCGACGCAGCAGTGGTGTCATTTGTTGGGACCAAAAACATTTGAGAGTTAGGTACATATAAACGCATTTTTAATTCGCATTAATCATTTAATTCGATTCGTCAAATTTTATACATATCAATTACATAATATATATTGCCTATTTAAATGTATCTATGGTAATGGTACTGATAATCTGTTACTTCTTCTTCTGGTGTTATGATTGATTATAATAATTATAAAATGTTGGTAATGTTAGTAAAAATCATATGATATATTGTTATTTAGTTTTTTTTTTTTAAATTTGAATTCAGTTTACACAAATCACAGCTGTGACAATTTTAACTAAATTAAAAATGTATTTTGATGTTCTATTGTGTTTATTAATTAACAATATTATACTAATTCTACGTTAAAAAATATATTTTATTTGAAGTTTGTGCTTGATCTATCGTATTTTGTTATAAATTACAATTTACTTAACGCACACGGTTTTAAATTGATTATTATTAAATATTCAGGCGTATCGTAAAATTATTGGTTTATAATGAATATTCAAATGATATTCTTAAATTATTGTAATTTATTTATTAGTACATTTAAAAAACACTTTTTGTAACCAAAGATTGTGCTTGTTTAGTTGTTTGATTTAGACATTTGGAAGCTATGCTTCCATAATTATCTGGAAGTTAAACTTCTTTGTAGATCATTCAATGACTTAGACATGTAGACATCTATCAATTAAACTATAAAACGTATATATTTATAATTGATCCTTAAATGTTTGTGTTTCCGTCGATGTTGTTGCCAATTTTTCAGATTTAAACTTTTAGGGTTGATATACCATCATATTACGGGCATTAATTGATGAGATAACCATTTGACAGTAAGTATCTGTATCGATAGTACTATAAATAAATTTAGCACGGTTTAAATTATAAAATATTTTTAATAAATACCATACCTAAAATGTAAACCACAAAAAACTCTGAAATTAGCCCTTGACATTCAAATATTATTATGATGATACTGATTATTGGAAAAATACAAAATACAATTGTATGATGTACCAGCCATGTCTTAACCTTACTTACATTATTTGCCTAAAAAAGAACATTTTTCAACTTTAAAAAGTCTTATTATTCATAATATAATAAATACCGAGTTTCGAAATAATTCATAGTTGGAATGTAATAATATGATGCCAAGTAAAATCATTATGGCAATTACAACGTTGATTGCCGAATTTTTTTTAAATTCTCCTGGATTTCCGAAATATTCTTTAAGAAATAATATTACATATTTTCAATTAAATTTAATTAATACATATGTAGTACTGTAAGGATTAAAATTATAATTTTAGAAAAAGAAACTATGAAACATAAATTGTGAACTTAATTATCTTATAATTTATACTTACTTTTGTCATAAAAAATGAAATTTAGTATTTGTAAATGCTAAAAACATTAATACATTAATTTAAATAATTCACATAAATATAAATAAATAATCAAAATAGCTTAAAACAAAAAAAGTGATCTCATATTAATACTATTATTGATTGTCATGTAAAATACAATTATATTATAGAAAATATGTTTTACGAACGTAGTCTAAATCAAGAGATAGTATGTTTAAGTATAGGTACAACACAACATAAAGGAGTTTGGCGAATATATCGACTCTATCAATACTTTTTTTCGGAGCAACTTGATATTAGAAATAATTTTTCATACATACCATTAAAATTAAATGCCACGTGGAACGTATGTATGATAAGTCCGATTATTTCCAAAGGTAAATAAATCTGGAAAATATTATGACACATAAATATATCGGTGACCATCATAAAAATCAAAAGACTAGTACTGAAATAAATTTCGGCTGTACCTCGTCATCAATCATATAAGTTTAACAGTCACATAATTCAAAAATAAATCGTTGGTTTGAAAAAAAATATAAACAATTTTACTATTATTATGGATGACATAGAACTATAAGCATAAGCAAGTCTTTTGCATTTCAAGGAAATCAAAGATTAATATTTTAAAATAATGTATATAAAATATAGTTTAAAAAGTGCAATAAAATTTTTAAAACTACATTTTCAAATATTAAATGCATATGTAAATACATTTGCATAAATTTCAAATCGTTATTTGTCATTATTCATTATTGAATTACGGTAAAAAATTCAAGTCTATTACATCTATAAATTGTGTAACAGATAACTACTTCAATTTTAATTAGTTTTTTTCAGTTTTTCCAATAATTGAAAAGAATTAAGATTATGTATTTTTGACTAACTGTTTTTTACTTACAATATTCATAAGACCAATCATTCTACATACTTTCCACGCCGTTGTCAGTGATATTAATGATTCAGTTGATTCAGTTGATTCAGAGATGTAGTAACACGAGTGGTACATGTTTAATAATGTATATTTTATTATAAAAGTTTATTTATTATTGATTATATAGAACGGAAATCTTATCACTTTAACAGTAGTTTAGTAAGTTTCTTTGAGTAAAAATATCTCTAATTAACAAAAACGTAATGCTGATGTCTAAATGCAAGTTCAAAACAAAATTATTTCATATTAAAATATTAAAACAATCATTCCCGTCACATAGTTACTATTATAATAATTGTTTCAATACGAAGCTGACAGACAGTTATATATTATTTTTATTAATAGCCATTTAACATAAATGTTATAGAATATCACTATTTAATAACAAAGGTGGAACTAGAAATTATTATTAGACCGGCCCACCAGGGTTGGTAAATTGGGTCCCGGAAAAAAAAAGGTTGTTGGTAAATTGAGTCCTGGAAAATAATATATAAATTAAAATGTATGTGGTTTTTATAATATTATGTTCTCAATAAATATTTTATGGTATAAATGATTAAAAAATTGTGTACGTGGAAAAAAATTTCAATACGCTAAATAATATAGTACGTCAAATTTTACAATATGTGGTATAAATAATATTAAAAATGTTAATAATCTAAATAATAAAGTACGTCAAATTTTACAATATATGGTATAAATAATTAAAAAATTGTGTACCGGGAAAAAATGTTAATACGCTAAGTAATATAATACGTCAAATTTTACAATATACCTGTCTATACACACATTAACATCATGCGTAGAATTAATTGGTGTCCACACGGGGTATCAAACTGTATGCAATATGACGTATTATTGTAACAATTATTCAAAAGTAAATTATATAAATATGAAATATTAAAGTTTTAAGTTTTTAATATTTTAGACCTAATTGCACCAATGATTTATAGCCGGGACCCAACTTACCTATTACCTTTTTATAGCCGGGACCCAACTTACCTACTACCATTTTGTACCCGGGACTTAATTTACCGCTTTTAAAACGAACCCAAATTATCGCGGACCCAATTCACCTAACTCCCGGGCCACTTCTCTTGATAAATTCAGATATGCGTAGGTACCTACTTATAAATAGTGAGGCAAAGAGCTGAAAAATTCTTAATATAATTTTTTTTTCAAAACTTATTTGTTGTATTTGTATAGTGTATACACAGTTGTAAATTTGTGTTAAGTATCTATGACTTTTTTATTTTAAAATAAAAATTAAGGTAATATTGTTTATATGTGAGTACAAACATTTTAATATTTTTTCTGTTTAAAGTCGAAATTCAAATTTCTTCGATTCAGCATATTATTTACGTAATGTTATAACATTCTATATTTTTAAATTTAAAAATTACTAAAATTCAAACAACAAAACATACTTTTTTCAAAGCGATATAATTAATACATGTTATTATTATATAAATCAAGAGAATACTTTAAAAATATCAAAGAATATTTATAAAACTAAACAACAACTTCATAAAACCATTTTTCAGGATTTTTCGATAACTTCATCGGAGTTGATATTTCTGCTATGAGACCATTTAAAATGAGCGAAAAGAATAACAAAATATAAATTAATAAATGAAAAACTATTTAATATTATTTGAGATTAAAAAAATAATTAAATTCATTGTTCAGAATCTTAGATACTTCTG